ACTAGGTAGGCTAGGACTGTTTTATTGTACAGTGTTCATGTATTTTGGATTTCGTACAGTTAAATTACATAATGTTGTGAAGAAAACAACTCCCAAATACAATCGTGCATAAAATTAACAGAATTTGCATATTATGTCAAATTTTTGAAGAATTACTGGATAGATTTTAATGAAATTTGATATGAATATACATTTATGACAGAAAAAGATCTCTACCACTCAAAAATCCTTTTATGCGAGCATGTTTAACACGTTCACGCCGGCACGGGTCACCGGTGGCCCACACTAGTCTGTCTCATTGGGCGGCGCGTACCACTGGTGGCCCGCACTAAGTTTGTCTTATCGGGCGGCGCGTGCCACCGATGGTACGCATTCGATTGTTTTATTAGACGCTGAAAATTAAAATAAAGAAAAATTAACGTTTATTTATTATAAAAACTTTTTAATAACAATTATAAATTAATAACTATTAGCAAACGTACAACTCGTATACAGGTCTGAACAATAATAACCAGCAACAAGTAATAATCGCGCGCCGCCAGATGAAACGCGACAAAAATTCGAGCGCGGTCTCACGGCGAAGAACATAAAAATTGGCCCCGACGCGAACGTGTTAAAGCTCATAGTGTATGATGTCCAAACCCCAACGTTATAATATCTAACTGAGAATGAGTCTAATATGGAGCACGGTCCCCTCTTACAGCCTGACAGATTACACTCAATATTACTACACTACCACCATTAACTGCCATCCCTAGATAACTGTTACTCACATTTGCTCAGTTTCTATGATCAAATGAATACGACGGTCTCATCGACAATATAATGAGAGAAAAGCGTGCACGAATTAAACAAGGGTATTATTGTATTATATTTACATGAGAAGAAAAACATCCACAATGAGAATTACTCGTTTATAACTGAACAAATAATTTGATACATTTTCTCCGTTCAAGCTATATTATCCCGACCAAGCACATTTTATAGCTGTACTTTACGGAATTATAAATCGGGCATTCCACCTAAAAGCTTTCTATCTGAGCAGCAAAGAGGGAAAAAATATAGCAACGGTCCGCAGAGACTTACTGCGCCAAGTACTCACATTCTCCCTTTCTTGGTTTTTACGCAGTTTTTTTGGAAAGCATTCAAAAACAAAATGCAAAAATTACCCCCAAAAAGATAAACGAAAAAATAAGATGAAAGCTGGATAAAAGATGCCAAAAATTCTAGCAATTTCTTTCAAACACATGACTCATTGTTTTAGGAATTGCAGACTAAGCAATGAATATCGAAGACAATCCTTTCTTTACAGCATCGATCTTCATGGTATCCCAGTTGATTTTTAACGGAAAGTCTCAAGCTGAGTAAAAAGACTATTCAGGAAGCAGGATTTCCAATTTTCAGATAATTGCTTTGTAGAGGTGCTACGAACATTGGGATAACGGATAACGTTATTTCTATGTTATAATTAAACTTCCCCATCTTTTTTTCGAACACTTTTAAGTAGTAGTTGTTGTTTACACTATGGGAAGAAACGCAAAATTCGTGTCCTGACAAAGCAGGTACGAGGTTAAACTCAATTTGAGCTACTCTAAACACCAGTCTAATCTTCTAGCCTGTCGGAAGAATTCTCGTTCCGTTACCGTTCAATACCAGAATACTTAGTAATTTCAACAGTGTAAAACAACTAAAGGATTTATTTCAACTCGAAGATACAGAACTGAAGCACTTAACAAAAATAACTTCCGCTTCTTGCAGGTGACCAGATAACGATTAAAATTATTTAAAAGTCAAAAATTTAAAGCTTAAAAATCTGGCTTTGCCAATTCCGTGATTATAAAATTGCAGAGTTTTGCTAGTATAGAAGCTTAACTTTACGTCGTACACACCTTACTACACTGACAAGCGAGTTATCGCTCAAGCCTGACTTCCAATAACAAGTTTTAGAAAGATTAAAATAACTTTTTTATTGAACTCTTTAAATGAACAGAAGGCATTACTTGTGCTACATATGATTCGCCGCTACTTGAGGGCATTTACAAGAGCATAAAACGAAATAAAATTTAGGTATTGTAATCTGAAACTACACATAAAATAGACTACACTTAACCCTTTCGCCGTCCTCTCCTGCCCGCGAAAATTTCCCCCCCAGCGGCCGTCTGTTTTTCGTAGCGTGTAATGTTTTCTCTGTACATCATAACTTTCCATACATGACTTTCGTAGTGGATGAATGTCAATGAATATTAAGTAAAATTATAAGGAAATAAAGCATAATGGAAAAATAATAATATATCTGCTTATTTCAGAACTACAGAAGGATAATTTCATAACATCTGATCCAGGCGGTCCAACTCCTCCCATTTTGTTGTAATCTTTTACAATTATTGGTTTTTTTTTTTTTTACAGTTCTTTTCAGTGTTCCAACATCAATCATCGAGTTATTATGGACTGTACTCATCAAACGTATATCCTTCTTGTCTTTCCAACTTCATTTTTTCTCTTTTTCTGAGTAGACGTTGAAGCCATCTCTCACTGTCTTGTATCTTATGTAAAATGGCACGAATCTTCATAAAACTCGGGGCAAATTCAATTAGAAATAGAATGCCTGATTAGCGCTACCCTCTAGGAGGCATTAGAACAAACAAAAATAAAAACTCAAACAATTTAGAAAGCGTTTTAAACGTTTAAAAGTTTTAAAATTTAGAAGAAAGCTTGAGGCGCGTTACGGCCGCCCTGCGGAAGTTTCTCTTGAACGCGCTAGACGCGTTACGGACGACGAAGAGGTTAAGCTAGCTCAAGTAATTAATAACTCGTATTTAAACGTCGGCTAGTACAATGGCTGAAGCTGGAATAACTTGGCGATAATACGTAACTGCAGTGCGAGGCTATTAGAAGCTTTATCTGTAAAATAAATCCGCGGTTTAAGTGCAACAAATTACTTGTATTCTGGTGAGGACCACGGAAGAAAGTTAAAGGTTCAAATCATAATAACTGGTTAATTAACATTAAATTCTACAAACTTAATTCCAATTAGAGACAAAGTCACCAGTTAGTAGCAACCATGCTCAAGGCAAGTAATAACAGGGGAGTTTCCTCACAGAAGGATGAGTTGCCAATTTATCTCTCAGATTCACGCTCGTATTTAAAACCGACTTCATCTATGTATTCTGGCAAATTAGACGAAAAAGTAGAAGTACACGGAAGATTCAACATAAGAAATAATTGTTTTATTAAAACAAGCCTTAGACAAGATAGACTTCCCATGCGCTGATAAGACAGAACACTATCTAACTGTCCAATAATCAACAAGCATATAATAGCTGTCAACCCATTTGTCATAATTTTTTATTACAAATAAGTTAAAATACATGTACGAAAAAGAATATTTTTTAGTTAGCACGAAAATTAATTTTTTGGTTTAACACTGAGAAAGTAAAAGTTAAAATAATATTTCAAAAGTCCATAGGTGAGCAAGTAAATAAGACTGGTCATTCGACAGGTAAATACCACTAGCCATTCGACCTGAGTTCAAATCCCGGTGAAAGCAAGCGGTTAAACAGCTGAACAATGGTAATTCGACCCGGGTTCAAATCCCGCGCATGGGAGGTTTCGTTCTTTCCCTTAATGTGTAACCTGAATACGACCATAACCAGTTTATGAACCAGTTACCATAAGAATAAGAGTTTTTTAAAGAAGTCCACCGCAAAATCATCCCTCCTCCTAACACATACAGCCCTCCCGTCTTTTGTCAAAATCTAATTAATCTGAAATTCAAATTCCTGTGAATGGGAGTGCTGCATGTGTGTTTTTGTGGTTTTACCGATGTGTAACGTCAGTACGAGCCGGTTCTTCCTGGAAAGTCCTTCATGAAGGCTACAGCAAGAAGTATTTTTGCTCTGTATACTTTGCTTATTCGAACAAACAGCTTTCAGATGTTAAGCCTAAACATTAAAAGCATTATAATCCCTACAACTCTCTAAATATGTTCCCAGAAACGAACTTTTTGTTGTACGGATTGAAAATTTTTGTATCACAGTTTGCTTAAAATACTTTGTTGAATGTTAAAAATCCAGTAAAAAAGAACTCCATGTTTTAATAATTTCATCAGTTTCTTACAGTAATCTTTAATCGATCTGCAGAGTAAATATATTTACAGCTATTGAACAGATATGGCTGCCATTCAGCATAAAATCGAAAACTGGACGACTATACTGATCGCGAAAGGCCTGCACAAATTATTAAATCCCAAAGTATATCAAAATGAACATTTTACTTCATACTATTCAGCGGTACTGATAAGCTGAATCAAACGAAAAATGGTAGCAATGTAGTTCAAATGAAAACGTTGTCGCAATAGACAAAGACCACGGTCGTTCCTCGTTCATTTGAGCAGTATCTAGGGAGGGAATTGTTTAGTCAACATTTTACGTCATACGTTCACGCCCGCCAACATTCTCTTTCAGAATAAATGCGTCATTGAAGAAGACAAATCAGTGCACCTAGATTGTTTAGCGATGCGTAATTCTGTACGAATTACATGTTACTTTCTGCATGAACTGTGACGGAAAATATTTATATTCAGCATCTTTGCCATCAGTAGGAACTCAACGCTAACAAACAGGGTGCTATAATTTAACATTATAATATTTTGCCAAAAAGGAGGGCACTGTATAAATAAGCTTTAGTATGACGTTTTGGACTCTGAAACTTGTGCAGAAGGCGAACTGGTCCTAGTTACGGTAAGGCTTTCGAGATTTATCCTCCAAGGAAAGAATAATTTACTACAATACTTCAGATTGTTGATTTTCATTAAGGATGCAAAGATTATCTGCCAAGAGAAGGCCGCTTTCATGGTAGACTTTTGACAGTAATTGGATCACACTTATGTTACACTTGGGAACCTTTTTAGACGAAATCGGCTTATAACTCATATTACGATGATGAAAACCATGACTAAGAAAGTGAGGTTCATAAACAATATAAATATTTTGAATACAATATTTTTTTTTATTATGTGTTTATTTATTCCAAGATATTTCTGTCCTACAATTTTCAGCACTATTTTAAATTGTATTCATCCTAGTTTCTTTCCCGATTCGATTCTTGTGACAGATTTAAAATCTAGCATGTTGCCGTACAGACTATAATAGAGCTCTGGAACAAGGACAAGAACCTGAACGTACCTGAAATGAAAGGAATAACCAAAATTTACTTTTAAGCAACTTACTTTAGTTACAGAAACAATGCCAAATTATCAAGTTTTTGTCAAATGTGCACCAACATAACAATATGGTTTTTGAGACAATGCAGGCTTGGGAGCAAAAAGGCACGAATGTAACATGTCATTTAAAAAAAAGGGGTCTCACGGCAAAATATCCGATGGCATGATAGGCTTGCTATGGAACATCAAGACATCGGGTTCACTAAGGCTAATCCAAAACGAGACAGCAATGCATGTTGATGCAGAATGCATTAAAAAGCAATGCATTCTGCATCAACATTTTGGTAACATTTTAAAACTCGGAATTCCCTCTTTTATCGCTCCTACAGCATGTTAACCCACAGTTATTAAGCGTGGAATTATATGAAATCAAAGGAATTTGAGTAACGCTATATACGAGTCTCACTGAGGATCCAGCGCAGCGGAAAATTTTAAAGAATCCTCTCTATATACTAGTACGGTTTGTTGTTTTCATTTACTCGCTTAAGTGATTTTCGAAATCATCGTATTCACCGATGGCCAATGCATGCATAAAAGCTATAGTTTAATACTTAATGAGAATAAATAAAAGCTGCCTTTTAAGACTGCAAAACTTGAATAATCTAAGAACATTTCCTAATAAAGCCAGTGTATATTTCAACAAATGTGTACGACATATACAATATTTGTTTTCTTGATTGCTTCTCATGAGACATTCTCTTTCAGTCTCTCCTCTGAAACGCGTTCACTTGGAAACGACTTCGCAGCGGGCTCATATGATTACCTACCACATTGGGCAAGCAAAAGAAGAATTACGTCAGCTACTTACTTGCAATGACGTATGCTTTTGAAGCGCTGAAGCAGGTGAATTATTCTCTAGGGAAACACTACGGAAAAGCAACTAAAGGGAGTCTTTTCTGTCGGCATTTAGAGGTAGAATGGTGTAAAAAAAAAAAAACCGACTTGAAAACATGAAGAAATAAAAAGCGCTACAGGCTTTTCCGCCTTTCACCAGGTCGGATTATTGTAGTTCACACGGGGTGTTTCAGAAATAAGAAGCAGGTCTTAGTTTGTAACAAGTATTTTTTTTTTTTTTTTCATTAAATAACGACGTACAACATCTGAAAGGGAAAAAAAAGAAAGATTTCGGTTACATACCGTATATGATAAATGGGCGCATGTTATTTGGGCGTTAATTGTTCACTACCACAGTATCGGTCAAAAAGCGCAAGAAAATCGCTCTTGGACTCAAAAATCTTCAGATCTGAATTCATCGAGACTTCTTGCATCTCTCAAGTTTCGTCAAAAATACCGGAGCAAAAGAGCCGGATTTAATATAACGCCAAAAATACCTTTTTTTTTAGAAAATATTTATACATAAAAACAGATAAATGTTCCGATTAAAGGATGTCGAGTTCGATTTGACATGGCAACGCTGGTATTTTATCTCTGTCAGTTCATTTCGCAGCTTCACTGCAGCTAGTTGACATGGCGAGTAACGCAAAGGAACAGTGAGTTTTGATTGTGAAAATTCATTATAAGAATCGCGAGTGTTATGCACAGACTATTAAGGAAGTTTCGTGAAATGTTTGGGCATGAAACTGAAACAACAGTTCGCAGATTGATAAAGAAACTTGAGGAGCAAGGTTCGACAGCAGACACTGAATCACCGCGTTCTTGATCCAGCCGGTTTGTCAAAAGCATCGCTATTTTGTGTGAAAGCGTTATTGGCGAGTTCCCCCTCCCCCCAAAAAAAATCCGAATTTAGAATACTAGAAATCTTAGAAAGTCCAACAAGAAAAGAAATTTAATGTCGCAATCGGCACTTCGATAGGCAGATATGCGAAAAAGTGATTACGAATTTTATGGAAAGACTGCGGTGTTGCACAGTAATTCGTGGAGAACACAGACCAAACATTATTTTTCTTTCTTAAATCAGGACATTTACCTGTTGTATGTTAAATTATTTTCCATTTTCTAAAAGTAAAATAATTTACTGGACATATTAAATCCGGCAATTCAGTTGGGACACCCTTTACATTACAAATCTTCAACAGAAAACTTTCAACAGAGTGTGACTACGAGTTTTTCAAAAATGATATCGAAAATCAACATCACGATGATTATATGACTGACTAGCATTTGTTGCATCCCAGTTCTTTTGATATTACTTTGAGCGTTAACTTATACAAACGGCCCACCAGCGGCCGAGCGGTAAAGTCGCTGAACACTGGTAGTTCGGTCCGAGGTTCGAATCCCGCGAACGGGCTGGCTGCATGGGCGTTTTCGTGGTTTTCCCCATGTGTAACGTGTATACGAGTCAGTTTCCCTTAGAAAGTCCTCCACGAAGGCATCCCTCCTCTTAGGCAGATAGCCCTCGAGGCTTTGCCATAATCACACACACACTTATACAAACGGCCGAACTTCTGGAATGACATTTTACACAGGTGCTTCAATATCAATCCAGAAATTCCTTTGTAAAGCATTACAGCTCCACAGGCAAAGAACAATGATAGGGCATTACATTCATTCAGTTGACGCTTGCTGGTTCAGTTTGGGTACCGAATGCAAGAACTACCAGTTTATGGGATGGGTTGTCTTTGCGGAGTATTTTCTAAGAAAAACTGGTTTATATTCACCTTACACACGAGGACACCATGAAAACCTCCATGCAACCAACTTGGTTGCCTAGGATTTGAACCGTGTCCTGTTCAGCAATTTTACCGCACAGTCAGTGGTGAGCTAAGATCGACATTTTACTTAGCATCACCACAGCATTATAGGTTTGATTTGGTTTATTAAATTACGGCAAAGCACTCGAGGGCTATCTGCCTTAAGGGAGGGATGCCTTTGTGGAGGACTTTTTAAGGGAAACTGGCTCGTATACACGTCCACAGCGTTATAGGTGTAGTATCGATACCAGCACCCAACCAATACTAATTACCTGTATATGATCGACATATTACTGATACTGAGATAATAATGAGTAAGGGATGGATATCTGTGGCCTTCGCAGAGCTGCCACCTACATTCTTCCTTACTACATAGAGTCGATAGCGGCATAGCACAGACACTAAATAGAATCGACACAGCGTACCCTCGACGGTGTAAAATGCAGCTAAGAATTATAATTAGCAGCGTCATATAATCAAGAAATAAAGAATTTATTATTGTTTTCAGGGGACCTGCACAGAATCGAAACCAGTGTTAGAGCTATCATGTACCGGCAGAGAGGCTGTCAATTATGAGCACCGCTTTCCAGTGATCCGATGCTTAGTAAGTAACACAAGCAGTCAGCTTCATCAATTTCATCAAAATGTTCAGTGTTATTCACCATTTCTTTAGCAAGGGAAGTTTTCATCGAAAAGTAACAGCTAATGTTTCAAAACAAGAAATGTTAACGCCTGAAAAAGACATATTTAAAAATAAAATTATTAAACAGAATATTCTGAAGAATGAAATACGGCCGGATAGATAAGCGGACAAATGGCAAGATCGATGAAATGCCGTCAATGGTAGATGGAAGTAGGCGTTCTTCCATTATTAAAGAAACAACGACGGCGATCAATCATCTGTGTCATTCATATGAGTTAATATCACTGTTTCTCATATAGCATTATGTTCCACGAAATCACCAATAACAAATGGTGAAACGGAGCTTTTCTGAGATTATTCAAGTCTTGGCGATACCTCTGGTCATTAACTAACAAAGACACAGAACAAATTGAAAACCAAAGAACACAATACACTGTATACAGGGCCTGAATTCATAAAATAGAAAGATCTGAAGAAAACAACTAGCACTTAGTTTTCTATATGCATTTCCTGTGTCTCTTTGACACATTCCATACTTTTGGATTACTTGGTCAAAATCAATTATTGGAATACTTTTTCATTCCGTCGTTACGGGTTTCCAAAATACTTTTGAAATATGTTACCATTTAAGATAAAATTTCACTTTAGGGAATACAAAGTAGTCACAGCTGCCAAATGAGACAAATAAGAGGGATGATTAATAACAATTGTATTTCAGTTGCTGCTTATTTATATTATTTATTTGAATGCGGCAAAGCACGCAAGGGCTATCTTCTTCACGAAAGGATCGGCTTCTACTAGAATGATCCTCTAAGGGAAACGACCGCATTTACGTACAGTTTAGTTTCAATAAGCTACTTAATGACAGTTGGGTTGTGGGAAGAAAAATTTCGATGTAACCTATAACGGCAAGCGTCTGCTGCATAAAATCAAATTAAGAATTTCATTCAAACTTCTTCGCTAAGAGGACAATATTTACAGGAAAGAAAACTGAAACCCGTTAGTAACTACTCCCGTTAATTATTCTTTGGCAGTCTGATTGAAAATGGTTCAATTCTAAAATTTTGCAGATGCTCTCCGTATGTTAAAACTAGCGTGGAGGCACATCAGTTAGAAGAGCAACTGAAGGATGGTGACTACAATGCGAAGAGCTACACTACTAAGACAAGAACACTGCATACGTCAAGAGCGCATCTGAAGTTTTGCTAATCTCTGCTACAAAATAGGCTCGTCAGGTGTTCCAAACTTTCAATGTTCCACGGAATAAAGCGGTGCCATACTAATGAAAATAATAGAAACTAGCCTTTACGAAGACTTCCCTACGATCAAATTTCATTAATTTTTTAGACAAAAAGGCTTTTCTCTGGAATATCTCCCAATTTCAACTTAATAGTATTCGTAACATTTCTTTTAAACGCGCGGCAGAATGCAGTATTACTTAGAAATAAATGCAGTAGATATTAAGGAAGTTTTTCTACGAACTGTGACTATAATAATAATGTCTTTTCGGAAAGGTAAAAAGCAAGAATTTTGTAAAGTGAACATCAAGTTACAGAAAATGCATATTTTTTTAACCTTTATTAATATGCCAGTTTATCGTCTTTACGAATTATGCAACACCTTTACCACTTTTGCAAATTATGCAATTTCGTATTTATGCAACACCTG